GGTCGCGTTGCGCCCGTCCGCGGCCACGCTCTGCGGGGTGGGGGGCCCAGAGCGCGCGGGCTCGCAGTAGCCCGGTGGCGAGTTCGTGGGGGGAACACGAGAGGCGGGTTGGGAGCGACCTTGGGGCCCAGGCGAAATATCGGATTGTGACCTGGGAAAGCCTGGAGGGAGCTGCGGTTGCCTGTGTCCTGTAGGGAACTGGTTTGACTGGCGCAGAGAACTCTGCCAGCTCTCCTGGAGAAAGTCTGATGGTGGAACTGGGTTAGAGACCCTTCAAAGACAGAGGGGGGCTTCGTGATGGTTTTGTGTGCCCTGAGCTCTGTGCACATCTAAATGGTGTTTCTGTGCCAGGTAAGAATGGAATAAGAACAGAAGATTGTATAGGATAGAGTTGGAATGGAAAGGAAATGGGAATGGGATAGAATGGAATGGGATAGAAATAGAAAAGAAAATAAAGGAAGAAAAAAAAGAAAAGAAAAGAAAAGAAAACAAAAGAAAAGAGAAAAGAAGTCATGGCAGTTTCAGCTAGAAGAAGACAGAACAGTTCCTGGCTTTGTGACTGGAATCTTTGTGTTTGGCACAGAAATCCAGAGGGTGTGCTTGACTCACCTTGAGTCGGCTCCCAGTGATTTTTAGAGGAAACAGGAAGAGGACAGCCAGCGAGCGTATCTTGTTTCTGCTGCAACACAAAACTGCTCTGAGTCACTCCTTGGACAAAAGCACTACCTCCTCTGATGCCATCAGACCCAGATCTTTCCTATTTGTCCTGACAGGAGGAATTGTAAAAGCAAAGTTGCAATCTCTTGCCAAGAAACTTTGATATATTAATTGAAGAGAAACAAACCATTTTGTTCCTGCAGTAAGGAAAGAGATATTATTCCCTCCAAAGAAGCTGTATTTGCAGCAGCAAACAGAATGTGTGACCATTACTCTGATAGTGCGGGTGGCTCTCTAGCTCCAGCGTTACTTGGGCCCCACTGGGATCAGTACTTCTGTCTGAAGCCTTTGGGCTCTGCTTCTGGAACCCCCTGGAGAATGACATGTCCAGAGTTCTTTTGTTCTAATTTATTTTTTTTTTTAATTTAAGTGTTCATCAGTCTCATTTGAATGAGAGACCCTGAAGACCCTCTCCAACGTTCTCGTCCATAGGGCTGGACAAGATGCCAAAGCAGGTAAAAAGAAAACCAGAAGCTGTGTGTACTAATTAAATTTTACTGCCAGGAAAGAATTCTTGGCTTGTTTCCATGCAGTCAAGATTAGGTAATTACTAATATGTATGTTCACTCCGTCTTCACGCACTGACTGGACCTATGAACGGTGTGGTTTTGAGCTGCGTTAATAACACCAGCTGGTGATTTTTGTTATTCCATGGGCTTTAATGGGGCAGGTGTCAATGCACGTAGCAAGTACATCCCTAAGGGTAATTTTTCAGTGACATTACTGGACAGACGAGCTATGCAGTATAGGTATCAGAAGCGATTGTATTTTCAAATATTGTTTTTCTTTTGGCTAAGCGATCACCATCTCTTCTCAAATGAAGTGACAGGGGGTGCAGGCAAGCAAAAATAAGCCCTTTCTCAGGTCTTGCAAGAGCAGCTGCACAACGGACTTAAGAACTCGGCTGGTACCAGCGTGATGCAGTGAGCACACGGGAGGGCACGGGAAGAACGGGCAACTGGCAGAAACTCGTCTGTGGAGTATTTCATAACTGTGCATGCCTGTTCTCTGTGAAAGCAGCAAGCTTCTTAACGCTCCTTCAGAGGAGAATAACAGAGATCACTTAACTCTGTTCCTAAGCTTTTTTTTTCCCTTGCTGTGTAAAGTTTTGTATTACTGGAAATGAACTACTTGTGCTGTCTGCAAAAGATCATAATGCTACTAAATGAGTACATTATTGCAGCTTTATATTTTTTTAGAAATGTGTTGATGGGGTTTTGCAGGCTATTTTCCCCTTCATTAATGAGCTTAGCTCATGTAGTGGGAATTGTGCTACTGCATTTAGCACTTCTCCTGTATAAACAAGGTGCACTGTTCATCGACCTGGTTAACTTGTAAAGAATTGCAGATTTATGCTACTAAATACAAATGAGTAGGGTTACTTTGAAGGAGTTTCTGTTAAGGAGAATGGAAAAGGAATATCTAGAAAGCAAAAATTGGGACTGGCATCTTTTCCCTTCTTCATTTTCCCTTAGAGCTTCTCTATACTTCACCCCAGAAATGACAAATAGGACCAAAATCTCTCTTCTGGCTAAGTTTTCCATTATCTTTGTACAACAAATGTGTCCTTCCAGCTAATACTGTCAAGGACATGGGAGCCCAGAGGCTAAGATTGAAATATGTTGAGTGATTCAAAGGGGATAAATCTTCACCTAGCGCAGCCCGGCTCTCACACCACCACCGTTTCTTTCCCCTGGCTGCAATGTGCGCACTTGGCAGCTTCACTCCTGGGGCCCTCCATCTCTGCTCTGGAAAGGAAAGTCTCCGCTGGGAAAACTGCATTTGTGTGGGAGCACAGCGGCTTTCAGCTCTGCCTCATCTCTGCAGCCAGTCCTTCCTGCTTCCCTCTGCCCAAGGCACTGTTTGCATTGAATGCGTGACATTTGTAGGCTTAGAAATATGCCGGTTAAGAACACTGTGTAAGTGTGTCTTTGCTGAACAACCGGCAAAATTGCAAGTGCCAGGCAGTGTGAGTCTAAGGACACGTTTTTTCCCAGCTCCTTTGCTTACAGGCAGAATGACTAGCAGTGAATCCCGTTTACAGCCAGTGCTGTCAGCCTGCCATCTCTCATGTGCTGTATGATACCTTTCTAAAAACAGAGCACCCCATGGGAACCATTGATGCTGGGGGAGGGTAACTGGGAGGAGGAGTAGCTCAGACACACTGTTATGACTCCTGCTGGGACTGAGCTTGTGTAACGTGGAAGCAGTAGAAGAGCCATGAACTATAGCGGATGAGGTGAAAGCCCAGCTGTATTCAGCCTTTGGTGCTGGTGTGACGTCCTTTCCAGGAAAATGGCCAAAAAGAAGATTCTGTCATCCAAAATGACCTCAGTGAATCACTTGAAGAAGAAGTTAGAGCGTTCCTCAGTGATGAAGAGAAACTGCATCTTTTTGATGATCTCACAAAAGTTAATCCGGTGACAACTACAACAGGTAAGCAGCCAGCCAGGGGGAGCATCTCCTGAGGAGTCACTTTCCCTGGTGGCTACTAATGTATGGCAGTTACTGTTCTCATCACATTAATCCTATCATGAACGCAGTAGTTAAAGATTCAAAGCTTATTAAAGCCTATTCCAAGCCTTAGGAAGTCCCATTTGGCTTGGTTGAATTTTTTAAAAAATCCTTTGCGGATGTAGCCGTGCTGATCTCTCATTGGTATGGTTGGTTCAGGCAGCCGGGGGGTGGCTGAGGGTTAGTGCTATCGAAGCACTCCTGCGTGGTGACCTTGTGATTGCAGTTTGGTGTTACACGGACGTATCAGAAAATGAGGCTCTAACTTAGACTCAAAACAGATGAGTGAAATTGGTTTTGAAAAGTAAATTCCTCACTGGACTTTTAAAGATGATCCTGTTAAGAGAAGCTAAGGCATGTTCCCAGTGCAGATGGGGGAATCGTGCCTCTGTTCTGCAAGGAACAGATTTGCTTTCTAGGACTTACTGTGTGAAACCTCATAAAAGCACAGGATTTATTGAATGGAATAGTTAGCAGATCCTTCAAGATTTTTAAAAGTAAGGGCAATTTGTGAAGACGTTGTTATGTATATTAGACCTGTATCACTCTCTTGATCACCTCCTTTTCTATTAAACCTAATAGATAACATATCTGAAGATTTTTGTTACAAACAGGAAGAGGAAGAATCAAACACCCTTTTCAAAAGATGCTAACAGAAGGTGTGTCTTTCAGTTCTGAAATGTCTTCAAGCAAGATATACAGTAAACTTGTTTTATACAAATGCTGGCTGCAGCCTGGTGGCTTTAAATCCATTTCAGCCTATCTCCTGCCTCTATTCACCTGAGCTTATGAGAGAGTACCATGTTGCACTTCGTCCTCAGGTAATCCTTATATTTGAAATAACCATCCTTCTGCAGAACCCAGATGTCAAGTTCTTCAAAATATATATAAGCAAAATAACCTAAAGGATAAAACCCATTTCTAGTGAAATACAAGTTCTGTTAAAAGAGCAGTCCTGTTTTCAGATGAATGTGAGAAGACCTTTGCTGTCCATTGCTGTTGAACTTTGTAATTACTGTTCTCCTAAATATGAATATTCTCTTTTACTGCCAGGATTTAAAACCTCACATCTTTGCAGTGGCTGAACAAACCTACAGAAATGTCCAAAGCCAGATAGACCCCGTAAACCAGTCTATAATTGTTAGTGGAGAAAGTGGTGCTGGGAAGGTAATGAGATTTTTTTTCTGACATTGCTCTTAAGTTTTGAGATTCTCTAGTGATTTCTAGTGCATAGTATTTCAGTGAACACGCAAAGACGAAGGAAAAAAAATTCTGACAGAGCACGTAGCCAGTCTGCTGTAGCACGACTCTCTTACAATGTGCCAAAGCATGAGGTGATTGCTGCAGTCAGATAGACTCTACTAAATAGAGCTGCTCTGTAGGTGACATCTGTAATTTCTGGGAGGGCTAGATTTGAATCATTCAACAGGAATTGCACCTGGGTTAATGTTGCAGCCTGGTCTGTTAAGGAGCTAGAGTGGATCTCAGCAAACCCTACAGCAGAGACTTAGAAGAAGCGGGAGAGCTCAGATCCCACCCTGGGCCATTCTGTAATGGCCCATCCCTATCCAGCGAGATACTGAGGATATTTTTAAGCTTGAGAACAAAAGGATTTGCTGAATGTTAATGACTCAAAGTCCATTTATATTCAGTCCATCTTAACACACTAACTGTTAATTCTAGCTGAGCTTCAGACAGTTACATCTCGATAAGACTGCCATCCAGCAAAGCACTCCAACAGCATTTTAATGTGCCTGTTGCACATAAGCATATGGACAAAAAGTTTCCACCGAACTAGAGCTATAAACCTGACACAATTAGTCTCTTTAGCACCATTGCCAGCTGCATGCTGTGTTTTCAGAAGCTAGCACAGTTTCACTAACTGATGTGACTAATGACATGGTAAAAACAAAGGGCTATTGTCAAGCCTCTCTCTTGCAGACCTGGACATCTCGCTGCCTTATGAAATTCTATGCTTCTGTTGCTGCTTCAGTTCTCTCTCCTAAAGGCAATGAAACTGTGGAAAGGATAGAGAAGAGAGTGTTGGATTCCAACCCTGTCATGGAAGCATTTGGTAAATGAGAGGTTTTGAAATAGCAAAAAGAAGTAGTGGCCGCTGTGGCCCCTAGTTAATCACCCTTAATGTCTGTGTGTCCCACGTGTAAGAGTGGAACCACTCTGACTGTGCTGTATCTGCCACTGGCAATTTCACAGGAAATGCCTGTACCCTGCGGAATAACAACAGTAGCCGTTTTGGAAAATATATCCAGCTTCAGTTAGACAGGTAATAATTACTGTGTAAAAAACTTATCTATCGTCTTCTTCCTCTAAGTCTTTCCAAACCTATTTCTGAAGTCTGCCATAGAATTTTTAAGTCTTTACAAACCTATTTCTGAAGTCTGCCATAGAATATTTTGTCTGTCTTTAGAACATAATTTGGCTTGCTGGCAGCTTACATTATTCTTCTTATTCTTATTATTTCCTACAAGCTCTCACCCTGATCTCTAAAAGAGAGCAATGGAAAAACACAGATGCTGTTAAGAACTCTGAATAAAGTATTACATTAAGTTTGCACAAAACTGAAGGTGAACTGCAAAGCATTCATAGTCAGTCGGTATCGTAACAACACAACACCTATTGGATTCTGTGAGGAAGTTTTGTTGAAATCTGTGCTTTTTTTTTCCCCTCTAGATTCCACCATCTGAGTAGCGCTTCCATTCAGACTTTCCTTTTGGAGAAGACCAGAGTTGCCTATCAGGCCCCCAATGAAAGAAACTTTCATATTTTTTATCAGGTTTGCCTTCAGTTAATTTTGCTAGATATTTCCAACAAACGCTGGGGATGAAATCACCAGATTTCGCACAGTTGCAACATCTGGTATTTAACAGTTTTCCTATCTGCCATGCTTCCAAATTAAATGACGCTCCCAGTGCGTTATTCTTCGTTGTCTGTGAGATGTGAATACCAAAGGCAGAGTTCAGTCATTACTTTGTTTTCTGTCTCCAGATCACAAAAGGTGCCACTGCAGAGGAGAGGCTGGAATGGAACCTTCCAGAAGGGGCTGATTACCGCTGGTTGCCGAATGCTGAAAGAAACTTAGACGGTAAAGATTAGTTTCACAGACTGTCCTTTAATAACGGCTGTAACTGTGAAGGAAGGCAGGCAAAAATGTGTCCATCCCATTAAATCCCATGACCCAGCTTGGTCAGCCAACAGCAGACATTTTGCAAAGCCACCTGCATTAATGTGATTCTTTTTAAGTGTCAGTTTGCACTATTAAGAGTTTTCACCTGGCTTAAAACAGCGGTTTCTGGCCTAGCAAATTTGCATCTCTCTGTGGCTATGTTTAGAAACCGTCTTGGCTTTGGATGTGCTTCAGCAACCTGCTGCCTGACTTCAGAGCCCCACAGAGCCAGTGTTAAGCCAGTGACTTGGTTCTCCAGCTTGGACCCTGGGATTTACCGAAAGACCATCTGGCTTCCTTGATTTCCTTTGACAATTCCAGCTAAGCTGGTCGTGGTGTGGCCTGTGTTTGTGTGCATGGCTTTCTTTTCAATAGCACTTGTTTGGCTTTTCAGAGGACTGCTTCGCGGTGACCAGAGATGCAATGTTTCACTTGGGCATTGACCGCTCCACGCAGAACAATATTTTCAAGGTCAGGTACAAAGCATGGTCACCACGAGGCTGCCAGTGATGGTGGGAATGTCTTTTGAGTGTGGGATTTCTGCAGAAGTTCTGTATCAACGTACAGAGCACGGGTTGTCTGGTGCTCCTGACGGGAGGGCTGCAGCTCCACGTGGGGTTGCACTGCCAAATATTAGATCTTAACTAAAAGCCTGCACCTGTGAACCTTAGTTTTCCTTCAGTAGTTGCAGAATTAGGAATTAACACAGAAGCTTGGAATCTACTGGCTTTTTTTTGTGCAGAAATGTTTTGACTTGTCCTGTTCATGTGGCTAAGGGAAGGCTCAGAGGACACTGCCTCGGGTGGGAGCTCTGCGTTAGAAAACTCAATGACTGATTATATTTTAGGTATTGTCAGGCCTTCTCCATCTTGGGAACGTTCAATTCTCTAATCCAGTGGATGAATCTCAGCCTTGCGAAGTAGAAGATAAAACCAAAGGTGAGGCAACAAGCGTGCCGTGCTCCAGAGAGTCTTGTTACCTTAGTGCAGATGCCTGATGGGGAGGATTACTGCGCTCTTCTGCTTGATAGCAGACTATCAAGGTCACGCGCAAACCAAAATTTAAGTATGTTTTTGTTTGGTGCTTCATAGTTTCAAAGTACTGAACAAATGAAAACCTAATGCTCCCCTGCTCCCAGAAATAATATCCTTCTGTTACAGGTCAAGGCAACTGCAACGTTAGACGGTCATTTCAAGAGGATTATTGGCAGAACTGTTGCTCTTGATTGTAATCTTATGCTGACATCACAAGCAGAAATCTGACCCAGAGCGGAGAGCAGGGCTCTTAAAATGAAAGCTTTGAAGTTTTTGTGATAAAGGCTAAAATTTAATAACAGCAAATCTGTGAAATTGCAGCACAGAACATAGGTTGTTCTGCATGACTTTAAGAGGCTTGTGGATCTAGTTTTCCTTCAGAACTAAAACACTGTCCTGAGTAATGAAGTTTCCTACTGTCATTTTGCATGCTCTGAATTCACACTACTTTATATTCAAATAGTTTTGCATACAGCTCAGGTTAGCAAGATCTTAAAGGCTTTGTTAGCAAGTACCCATTCTTCTACATTTCATTACTATCCCCAAAATCCCTGTTTTTTTCTGGTCATGACTGTTTGGTTTGCCTCTCTGGATTTAGAGATCTCTGCTCAAAAAAGGTGAAAAATTAACAAAGACATACCTAGAGAGTACTCTCTAAAATGCCGACTTCAATGTGGCAAACTTCAGACTTTTTTGGTATAGTTTCATTTTAAATAGAGTACCTAAAATTCTAAGGGTCCTGTACATCCAAATTAAGAGCTTGGTCTTGCAAAACTTTCTCCCAAGTTTGGGTAAAAAGATCGAAAATAGGTGAGCTCATGGAAGCGTTATTTTTCTGTTCCATCTCTAGACCTTCCATAACTTTAAAGGGGCTGCATTCCTTTGACACTCCAGGTAACCTTGCCATGTTTTTTTTCCTCAATGAGATTTTGTGAAGACTGCTGGAGATTTGCTGAAGATACCTGTCGAGGAACTACTGGAATCATTAAGAATTCGAACAATAACTGCTGGAAAACAACAACAAGTCTTCAAGAAGCCATGCTCCAGAGCTGAATGTGAGACTAGGAGGGACTGCCTCGCCAAAGTCATTTACGCTAAGTAAGGACACGTCGGCCAGGCTGCTCTGCTTATCCTTATGATTTTTGTGAGGGAATAGGGAGGCGAGACAGATTTAGGGTTAGGGTTACTTTCCCTGGTTTTCTGCTTGGACTCAATAACAGCATAACCCTCCCTTCCCTGCTCGACTCACCCTCAATGCAGTTGCAGATCCTGACATAGCTGTAGTATCTAATAGAGAGATCTTCAGAGAACTGGTTCATGTCAGCAGGCAGCATGTCATCATTTTCTGTTTCTCCCTGTGATACTGGTGTAAAACACACTACTCTGGTTGTCGTAAGCAAGTGCTTTCCAACTAATCCACTTGCATTGTCTGCAGATTGTTTGAATGGCTCGTTTTGGTCATCAATGAAAGCATCTATGCAGATCCATCGGTGTGGACCAGCTTCATAGGTATGGTTATTCAACCCTGGTTTAACTGAGTAACCATAAGTCCTTTAAGCTACTCCTAGACCAGAGTGCACTGTCTTCCCATATTCCTTCTAGGATTGTTGGATGTTTACGGTTTTGAAGCCTTCCCTGAAAACAACTTGGAACAGCTGTGTATTAACTATGCCAACGAGAAGCTGCAGCAGCACTTTGTAGCACACTATCTGAAGGCACAACAGGTAATACCTCACTAAGGTCAAATGTGAAGTAACTAATTTTAAAACAGCATCTTTTGTCTCTTTAATTGTATTTCTGTGCCTCTGGTCAGACTGCAACCCTAAATCGAGTAAGTAATGCCACAGAAATCAGTAGGATGTGAGTAACAATTGCTTTTTTGGAGAGTGTGGGGCAGTTGGTGGAATGAGACAGCTTTCTCTCGTGGGTATGGGAATCTGTTCCCTGTTAAACAGCCCCACTGGCTCTGTGCCCTGTTAAACTGTTTCCTTTCCCCCAAAGAGCTGAAAAGTTAAAACTAGATTTTTTTAAGTAAGTGTAGCCTAGATTGAGATTCTCTTGGAAGCTGCTGCTTGTGTTAATTCTCTTAATCAAGTATAAAGTACCTAAACGGGTGAGGAGCTTCTAGACCTGAACTTAGTGTGAAGGCAGAGAGCCCAACGGAGCCTCATACCCCGAACATCAACAGTACGTGGTACCCTGCGGAGGCCTTCTGCCGCAGAACAGCTTCACCAACCCAGCTGGCATGCTGGTATCTTTAAAGACAAAAATACACCGCATCAGCTTGTGTTTTGTTCCAGCGGGATCTGGTGCTACACACTCAAATCTACCGGGGGTAGAGTATCCTCCTCTGGTTTTTTTTCCTCAAGATTGCCATTGAACATGAGCTGAGCTTTGGATGAGCAGGCTGAGCTTGGGATCAACTTGTTAAACAGTAACTGCATCAGCCTGCAAGAAGGCATGGGGTTCCCTCTGCCGCAGAATAACCGCTTTCTCTCTTCCTTCAGGAAGAATATGCAGCTGAAGGCCTGCAGTGGTCTTTCATAAACTACCAGGACAACCAGAACTGCCTTGATCTGATAGAGGGCAATCCTCTCAGCATTTTTTCTTTGCTGAATGAGGTAAGTGTGGATCTAAATCCCTAATGCTTTTGGCCTCGTTGCCTGCCTTCCATCCCATGCCACCAAGGAAAACATGAACGCTAAATTAGTAGGAAACTTGTCAGCTATAAAACTTCTGCAGAGCTTATTTTTCAGAACAATCACGACACTGCTTCTTCCTATTCCAGGTCATCGTTTTTCCTCCGATCCAGGATGTTTTGATTCAAATATGAAACCCAAAATTACATTTTTGGTTTTTTTTTTTTTTTTTTTCCCCCAGTATTTCAGAGCTTGCATAGTCAAAGCAACTCCCAAAGTAAAATATCTGATTTTAATTTAAAGTGTCTTAGCTTTTAAAGACAGTTCTTTATGACAAATGAGAGATGCTGCAATTTTGTCTTGTTTGTTATGCAGGAGTGCCGTCTGAACCGATCCTCTAACACTGACCTGTTTCAAACTCGGATTGAGAAAGCCTTGTCTAATAATCAATGTTTAAGTCGAAACAAGTTTAGTAAGAAGCCTAACTTTATCATTTCACATTATGCTGGCAAAGTCTGCTATCAGCTGGCAGCAATGGCGGAGAAAAACAAGGTAGGTGCTTTCAGAAAGAGCTGTTTAAAAAAAACCACAAAAAACCCACCAAAAAATCTTACAGAAGCGATTTAAATCAAAGCACCACTAACATGTACATTCAGTGATGTTTACTGGATGTACACATCTTGCTCCAAATGAATCCTTCAGGCCAGGTAAAACTGGATAATGTTCTTGGTCTTTCAGTGAACCATCACTGGCGCAAGGACATGCTTTGTTAGCAGATCTCTCAGCTGAGGATTAAGTGGACAGAATCAGGGCTCTTCCATTCCTGAGACAGTGCAGAAGTGCATCAGGGCATTTATAGAACCATGAATATAGCGCTTCATTTCCCCCCAAAATTCAGATAAGTGTATGAGAAACAAGAGCACGAACTCGACTACTGAAAGTTCTGAAAGTACCAGGAAACTCAAATTTTGGCCTTGTTGTGCCATCAGGGAATAAGTGAAATAGTCTGCAGATACGAGGGTCTCTCGTCAGTTCTGACATCACCAGCAATTATGGCAAGCGTGTTAGGTGACGCAATAAAATACCATCTCACCAAATATGTGGAATTTTTAGTCATTTTCAAACGTGGCAGGTTTCTGCCTAACTCCAAATACTAATGAGTCGTGTTTGTGTTTGCAGGACCCCATTCCACCAGAGCTGGTCTATGTTTTGCAGAATTCTAAGGACTCTTTGCTTCAAAAATTATTTCCTCTGACAGAAAGGAACCAAAATAACATCAAAACCCAGAACAGAGCAGCTGTTGTTACAGTGGTCTCAAAGTTCAAGGTACATCCTATTCAGGTTTCTGCTTTCCACTGCTGGTTTCATAACTAGATCATAGAATCACAGAACGGTTTGGGTTGGAAGAGACCTTAAAGATCATCTAGTTCCAACCCCCTGCCACGGGCAGGGACATTTTTGTGGTCCTCCTCTGGCCCCGCTCTTTTGTGGTCCTGTGCTGAGGACCCCAGAACTGGATGCAGCACTGCAGGGGGGTCTCACCAGAGCGGAGCAGAGGGGGACAATCCCCTCCCTCGCCCTGCTGCTCACGCTGCTGGGGATGCCCCAGGACACGGGGGGTTTCTGGGCTGCCAGCGCACATTGCCCAGTAATGTTCAGCTTCTCATCAACCAACACCCCCAATTCCTTCTCTTCAGGGCTGCTCTCAATCCTTTCTCCTCCCAGACGGTGTTTGTGCTTGAGATGAGAAAACAGTAGAGTTGGCCCAAGATCAATAAATGTTATTGAAATGAAAAAGCTGTAAAACAGAAATAGTTTCAGACTCCTGATATTCTCTGGGTTTTAATTCACAGCAATTGTACCTTTTCCTTTAACAGTTGGGCATCAGCCTTTTTGAGGCTTCTTACCTGTTCTGCTTGAGGGGTTAGCTTCAGCTGATGTCCTGCTCAGTCCTGCTATAATTTTGGACACTTTCTGAATTTACCATTAACAATTTTACAAAAGGATCCATAGAATGGATTTTTTGCTCAGGCTGTCCTTATAGAAGAGCTCTGCTAATACTGAGTCTGTAACATCCATAGAATGGATTTTTTGCTCAAGCTGTCCTTACAGAAGAGCTCTGCTAATACTGAGTCTGTAAAGCCATCCTTGCAAAAACCAGCTTCATTCTTTTTATAGAAGACCACCAATGAGCTCAACTACCTGTGGAGGAGGAGTCCCCAATTAAACCTGTATTTGTTTTCTACAGGGTTCACTTGAACATCTCATGCAGATTTTGAATAGTACCACACCACATTACATCCGATGCATCAAGCCTAATGCTGACTGCAAGGCAATGACTTTTAAAAGAGAAGAGGTAACTTTTCAGAAGCCTTTCCTCACTGAGTCAATGAGAGGATTCCTGGAGACATTGTGCGGGGCTTTGCTTTGGGTCTTTTATGATCTTGAGTCACTTGCAAAGCTCTTTTTACAGCACATTTTGAAACAGCTTTTTCTCCTTTGGAGCTTCCAAGATAAACATCCTTTCAGAATCATTGATGATGCTTGTCTAAAATGGAGCTAGTAAGCACAGCAGCTCTTCCAGATGGAACTTACTTTTTGCTGTATGAGAAGTTCTCTTCCCAGAGCACTCCTGGGTTATCTGGCGTGCTACCATCCCACCTCTCAAAATAGATAAAGGTGATCTGACTGCTCAGCAGTCCTGGTCACACAGATATCTTCATGGTGAATGCCCACAACAAAGCTTTGCTTGCTCCTGGGGTCTAGAACAAGTTAGATGAGATCAGCCCACAAGCATGTCTTTGGGAGCAGAGCAGCAGATGCTAAAGCTGATGTAAAACCAAGCAGCTGGAGTAGTGCTGCATTACTTTTAAACACACGGAGAATTTGCTGATTGCATCCAAGTAGTATTAAAATACCAACGCTGGGTTTTCATATTCCGCTGCATTCGGTCAGCGCAGGGTGTGTGGATACCACAAGAGAGGGCACACGAGGACTGTCCCCCTCTGTGTTAGCACTGCCTCGATCCTATTCCAGGTGATACTCACAGAGTAGCTCAGTGCCTGTGTAATCCCTTCTCCACCCTCTCATTCCTTCCCCAGCTGCACAGCAGGCGAGCTCTGGCGTGGGCGCTGAGCCGAGCCGCGTGTCACTTGGGCTGAGCACACACAGCTTCCACAAAGAGTAAGACAACGGTTACCTAAACCATCTCAATTTATGCCTCAGGTTCTCAGCCAGCTTCAGGCCTGTGGAATCGTCGAAGCCATCACCATCAGCGCAGCGGGCTTCCCTGTTAGGTAAGTCTGACCTTCTTGAGCAACATCTTCCATAATCCATTTCTGTAGCAATGAGTGGCATGTTAGTCATTCAGAAGAGTTTATAAGCAGGAAATGCAAATATTTTGCAGTCTGTTCCAGACCACAAAACTGCAGATTCTTTCAAAGCTACCTGAAGAGTTCTGCTCACTCCTGGCTGTTAAGCTTATTTGAGCACCTCTCATGTTTTGAAGGCAAAAATACCTGACACAAATCTGGCCTGTTGTTCTGTGTTGTGGATAATGAAACTCTTGCTTGTTCGGCAAGTCCAAGCACAACAAGCAGCGCTAGTGCAGCTTGCATTCAAGACAGTGGGATTCTTAAAAATATCCCAAATACCAACCAAGTCCAGATGTGTCTGGAACACACTCCTGGTCTGAGAGCTCACTGTACCTTTCCAGACTGAAAAGCTGGGGAAGAGATGTTTTGATGTGGCCTGTCATGTACTAAAACTTTCTAATTGAATGTGGCTTCCCAGTAACATTTTCAGCAATTAAAATTAAATTATAAATAGGATTCATCTAAATGTAGTCATCATATAGTAAATGACGCTTGCCTAGAATTAATCCTATGTTTGCCTACCAGGATCCCTTTCCAAAGTTTCACCGAGCGCTATGAAATATTGCGAAAATCACGTGGGTCCAGTAAAAACAGAGTGCGTGATAAAAGCAACCACCACACTGCCAAGAAAAAAGGTATGTTTGTTTAGATAATCCCTCTGATATCAAGTGAAATCATCACTGCACCAATTTGATAACACATAGATCAGATACAATGACGTATTCAGCACTAGCGACACCACTATTCTCAAAATATTTTTCTAATCTATCACCAACTTGAGTTCCTAATTTGCCTAATGCTTATGGCAGGCTCTTTTTACAAGTGCAAATCTTTCGTCTTATTGCTGCTTTTCTGTGTTCCTCTTGCGTAGAACAATTACAGTTACAATGGTGTTTGGGGCTCCCTCCCCCAATATAATTTGAGTTGGTTCTTGAGTAGACTTGAAAACCACTTACTTTTTTACTTATATTCCTTCTCCTTCCTCTTTTTTCCCCCATCTTGTTTTCTTGCCGAACACACTGACCTTCTAGCTTACCTGGATTCTGCTGCTTCTTCCACCTTTTGCAAACTTCTATACGTGATTCTTTTTTCTAAGCAAGAGCGAGGATGGACTTTAAAAAACACAATCCAATCCACAAGGTAATGTCTTTGGTATGAACCCCTGAAAGAAGGAGCCCATCAGGTGGTTACATTTAATATGGAAAGATACTGCAACCCCAGATTAATCCCATCTGCACCCAGTGGGTGAAGTAAAATAAGTAAAATGGCTGGAAATCTATTCACCTTGTGGAAATGGAATGAAGTAACCAAGTACGGGCTGGAAAATTACTTACACACCTTATCTTTCTCCCTCAATTATAAACCCATTAGCTGAAATACCTCATTGTGATAGGTCACTAGTCCTTTTATCTTATGGCAGGTAATAAGCTGCAAACAATTTCCTAAATACAGGGACAAGCTTTTGGTTCTCTTATCAGCCCAGCCCCATGAACACCATCATACTCACCAGATGTCTTCCTATGAGCAAGAATTGCTTATATTTGTATTCAGTACCTTAAAATGCTCTCATCTCCTTAGAAATATCTATAGCAGAAAAGCAAACAGTATCCAGGATGGAAGGATACAAAGACCATCAAGTTCCGGCATTGGGCATGCAGAAACTCATGCAGCATTGCCTTGAACAACACAAACACTTTCAAGGACAGGTCTGAATTAAGTCTACCTCTATTTCAAATAGATTAAGCTGGCTAACCTGTTTGTCTCATAATGTAAAAAATTGTGTACTATGACCCAGAAATGGTTTTAATAACCTCTTATTGCTGCAATAAAGTCCTGCTTAGTACACGTCCCCATAGCTGCTTCTGATGCTCAGTGAGTGCTGTAGAATTGTGAATAATTTGTTTTCAGTTCCTGCATCTTTCCGTACATTAAGGCTCCAAGCCTAATCCCTTGCTTTTTGTTCTTTGTTCCCAACAGCTTTGAGTTTTGGGTATTTAATCAGATTTTCTTAGGACTCAGCTGCTCAGATCTATTCTTAATCGCATTGCTGTTGCTTTCCAATGTTTCCACGTAGGATGCTTTAAGCAATGCGAGAACAGCTGCACCCCCCCGTATGTTTCATTGCCTAGATCTACCCAAAATGACATCCATTGGCAAGGTTATAATAGAGGTGATAAGACAGCACCCAAACTACGTCCTAGTTAAAACACACCATGCTGGTTTTCTAGTTGCTAACACATGGCGAAATCTGCGCTGTCACATTTTTCCCTTAAAAGCAGCTAGATCTAGTGACATCTCAGCCATCACCTCCTCCCCTCCTGCTGTAGGTGTATCCATCCCCCCTAAACAGGCAAGAAGTCTCAGTGTAAAGACTGATTTCCAAGTTTTGACACCTTCTCTTCAATGCTTCATTTACAGGCGAGATTGTAGGGGTGGATGATGACAAAGCATCGCGTGCTGTTGTTTTTGAGATCCTTCAGAACATTGTTACAGGACAAACTACTGCTAAGCAAACAGGGAACGGAGCAGAAAAGCCTTCAGTGTACTGTGGCAAAACCAAAGTATTTCTGGCCAATTCTGTGGTAAGAATGCTATTTCCTTGGCGAGTGGTTCTGTGTGCTCCCTTGGACAATGGGGACTCTGGCACGGATGATCACCGTGGTTTAGGCAATACTCTGCTAATGCCCATGTGATGAGAATTTGGCATTTTCCATCAAATTATTAAACTAAATCAAACATCCATCAGAATCCCACTATCAGAAGCACTTTGTTTAGTGGCGTCCTTGTTGCTAACAGATGAGGACCAGCACTTGTCAGCATCCTCCCGGTTCCAGGAAAGATTACAGCTTTCCCTAGCTTCACCTGACAGACTTGGCTACTCTGACAGGGCGAAGCAGCTTCTTGGTGAGCGAGGTGAAGGAGAAGGCGGCACTTTTGCAAAGCCTGCATACTGCAGGAGGCGGCCATAAAAGACCCCCCCTTCAACAGAGCTAGTTGTAAGCCAGCTGCTACTGGCTTAGTGTCCACTTCCCCCCCACCACCATTTTCCCACTCAGATACTGACATTTTCATTTTACGTGTTATATAATAAGCAATAATGAAGTGTTCTCACTTCTAAAACCTAACCCAGTCAGTCTTAGGACACTGAAACATGCACGTGGTTTTCTGACAAACACCAAGAGACTGTAGAAGAGGGAAGAGTTGTGAAGACAACTCCGTCCCCCAGTATTAACTTCAGGCTCGTATCCCCAACACAGCTGGAGCAACTTGAAGCTAGAAGAGCAGAGGTGTTAAACGAGAAAGCATTTTGCATTCAGTGTTGCTGGAGAAGATTTAAACAGAAGAAACTCGCGAAGGAGAGATGGTCTGCAACTGTCATCCAAGCAGGTAATTTGGTAAGGGTGTGGCTGAAGAGAATGTAACAAGGAACATCTCCAGTCCCACTGGGTGGTTAAGGTGGCAGGAGGGGTGATGTTAATTGAGCACGGCGAAAGCTTAAGTGCCATCTCTCTTACATTGTGTGCAAGAGCTCCTGAGATTCTTTGTACTCAGATTTCTTTTAATTAAATCTTCAGCTGTTCGTTCCTGGTTAGCCAAGAAGCACTTCCAAAGGATGCGCAGGGCTGCTAACATTATTAAGCACAGCTGGAGGAAATGGAAAGTAAGTACATTGGTATGGGAACGCACTGAAATTGAGTGACTGAGGCTTTTCAGTGTTTGAGAAAGAATCTGCCTCCGTCTAGAAAACCAATACTGTCAATTCTCCAGAAAACTCTTCTCAAGCTGCAGAGCAGAGATGGATACCAGTCTTGTACAGCTGCTTCGACAGGATGGCAGCATAGAGGCTGCAGAATGAACTTGTTCCTTACCTCCATAAAATAGGAAAATGTCCCAAAGGACGTCTTATCCTTTAAGATGTCCTCTTCTTAGACTCTTAGTTTTGCAGTTTTAAATTTTGTTCAAGATGTTTGAGAATCTTGTTCAAGAATATTGTTCTGCTTCTCTTCATCAGGCAAAAATGGCTGTGTTAGCAGCAGCAGAATTGGATGAGGGCGAAGAAAAGGTGTTCTCAGTTCCTGGAGCTACGGTGATCTCAGCCAAACCACCTTGCTCTTTGGAAAGAACTTGGCCTCCGCATGCAATAATTCAGTTCTGGCCTCTTGGCCTGGTCCTGGCAGCTGCACCTGTTACGGTAACGGGACTTCGGAGGGACCTGGCCCTGCTGGCATGCCTCAGAGTGCTCCAGGAGAGCGACTGCTACAAGGTGGAAAGCTGTTTCTTTGGCTGCGGCATCACTTCCATTAGAGCTCTCCCACAGGTAACAAACCTCACGCGTGCGAGTCGGCAGCACAATGAAGCTGCCCCGAGTTCAGGACCCTGCACTCTGCTGTCGAGCAGAGCAACTCTGAAGCCTGATCTCGAGCTACAGTCTTTCATTTTCCACTGGCTGAGATACACGAGGATGACTTGGACACCAATAGGTGAAGCCAGACACGGGGCTGAGCTGAGACTTTCATCCGGGTGTGAAAACTCTTGTTCCTCTCTGTCAGAGGAACAAACTGATCCAAGCTCTGCCTCAGAACTGGAGAGCAGGGGATTCCACCATGGGCTCTGCTCTTACGTACTATGTATATTTTTTCTGTGTAGAGGATTCAAGTTGCACGGCAGGTGAACAGATGAAAAAGCATCCACTTGTGGAAAAGCCGCTGGGTGTATAAATCATATTCCAGTCATTCTGTGTTAACGTCACTGTGCAGACAACTGCACAGACTAATTCACACAGAGGACTGTCAGGGCAGAAAGAGAGTAGCAACTCTCAAGTACTCCATCTCCCACACACACGCAGAACAGTCTTAGACACCATTTACTGCAAACAAGCCCCAACCCACGCTGGCTTCTCTCAGAAGTTACTCTGGTTACCCACCTCCTTGTGCCTGTGCTTGGGTTTTTTGGGGATACATTTTTGAGGTTGCATAACGTTATGGCTGCAAAAATGTAGCCTGTGCCTGGTAACAGTTATTAAAAGAAGGAAGCAGTACCAAGTTCAAGACCAAATACTTCAGAGTTTAAGGTATCTCAGTTCAGATTACAGTATTGGTACACTCTGTAGTAATAATTTCTCTTAAATCCATTTGTACCAGGACTCCTTTGGAGGTCTTCCTCTAGCCTTAATCACACTCACCAGCACTACTTAGTTGGGATAGCATTTAGCTCAAAATCTGGCAAAACATCAAATGACCTCTCCCCCTCCTTTTCTTGCAGGGCTCTGTCAAGTTCCACTGTAAGAAGTCTCCACTGCATTATGCAAACGTCAGCCCCCACACGGATGCCTACTCTATCACTGGATTTAACCAAATTTTATTGGACAGAAAAAAACTCCTTCCAACATAGATTTTGGCCACCTGCGTATGCTTACCGTACTTTTTCCTTACTCAGCATCATTATCTGCTGCTACCTCAGAGCTTTCTATATTGATGCACTGTACTTCAAATTTAGAATGCATGGGGGGGGGGCATTCCTCCTCTCACACACGTGCACATATTAGAGGAAATATCAGTACTGTGAGAACACTCAACATAATTAAAATCGATCAAGTGCTTTAAGCAATATGTACTTGAGCTGAAAACTTCTGGCACTATGTGGGAGAAGCAGGAGGCTGGTAATAACAAGGCAAATAAGGCAAACATTTCTGATGTGTGCTGGGTTCGAGGAAGCGAGTAGCAGTCAGCTGTAACACTAAAGGCAGATGTCTCAGGGAAAAGCAAGACTGGACTCTTGCTTTTTATCTATAGGACCAAAACATACGTACTCTCATAAATGCCTGCGTTTCTGGTACTGCCTAGGCCATAGCATCACCTCTGCCAAGGTGATGTTGCTCCCACGGGTCTTGAAGATGTTCAGCTCTACTGTGTATGCCACTTTTAAATAAACTGTTAAATACCTTGTAAAGGTGTCTGGCCATGTGCAACAAGGGCTAGGTAACAAAAAAAACCTTCATATTAGTCTATGGATTAAAATAAATGCAAATATATTTAATATGAATTGTCATTGGGAAGCAACATTTCCCATGGTTGACAGTATTTCTATACCAACAGAATGCAAGTCTACATAAGAACATAAAGTTTAATTCCTAGTATCTAGAAATCTGTCTGACTATATCACTGTTTATCAACTGTAAACTGAAAGTTAGAGCACTGACATCCACGAGTGAACTGTGATCAAACCTTGAGGAAACACACAGAACGGTGCACCCCAGTCGCACAGGTGCTGTCAAATCTCTTCTGTCACAGGGAAAAAAATCTCAAGGAGAAAAAAATGCTCCCATAGTAGTTCACTCAGGAAGGATATTCTCCTTCTCTGGAGGTTCAACAATTCTTAAACAGCAGTCTGCAAACTCAACAAATAACGGCTCCTGCATGTACTTTTTCATGAGAGAACTTTTATCTTCTGCTTGATCAACTGTCAGGAGTAGCTGCCTGAGATGTGGATTCAGAAGCAAGCCTCTCAGTTCTTCTGATTCCCCTTTTAAAAAGAAAAAAGAAAACAGTACTAATCTCGAACAGTTACAAATGCAGCTGAGACCACCCTTATTTTTTGCAAATAAACTTTCACAGAGACATGGTGAAAGGCCAGGTATCCGACATCTCAATCTTTAAGGCCTTGCACTGAGGTGCACAACTGGGCTGAGCCGCAGTGCTCCACCAGGAATTAATGGGAATTGTGGCTCCTGGGTGTTCCCCAGAGAAGCTGTGGATGCCCCATCCCTGGAGGGGTTCAAGGCCAGGCTGGATGAGGCTTTGAGCAACCTGGGCTGGTGGGAGGTGTCCCTGCCCATGGCAGGGGGTGGAACTGGATGATCTTGAAGGTCCCTTGCAACCCCAACCATTCTGTGATTCTCCAAATTGTGTCTCCGCTTGCTTTGTCAAATCCCCCCCCCGCACCCCGCTGACTCCTGCCTTCTCCTTACCCAGGAGTTGGAGTTTCTGCAGCGGGACGCGGTCCTGCTCCTCATCTTCCGTCAGGATATCCTCCACCGACCAGGGGCTGGCTGCGGGCGAGAGCAACGGAGCTGCAGGGGCCG